TTCCAGGTTGTCAAATACAGATGCAAGCTGTGTTCAATTAGTTAGTCTTTTTGTTACATTATCAGGATGTAAATGTCAGTAAACACATTGGGATACTACTGAAATTGGCAACATATGGACACTAACTTTCTGCTGGATAACTGAATAATTAGAATGAAAATGAAGACGCTGTTCGCTGAGTGTTTCTCAGTGCTCAATGTCGTCTTAATTTATCATACTATTTACCATTTACAGTGGCAGTTCCACCGTCCTCTTTCCCCTGAATGGTGCCATCTCTTAACAGATTCAGATAACACAATCTGTTATTGCAGCTTAAAGACTTTCTAAGGAATGATTCAAATGAACCTCCACTGAAGTGTCATGAGGTGAAAACCGAACATACCTCAACTGTCCCAGCTCAGTCGTCTCAGAATACAGAAGGCATCTATTCGTAGCATCAACAGAAGTACAAATTTTACCGAAATTCATGAGCAGTAAAATGTCATGTTAAGCTTTTTTATATTTATAAATGTATATTTAACCATGCTACAGTCAGCTCTTCATCCAGATTAAATGGAAAGAAAATAGTTCAGTCAAACCATACAAGCCAATAGCAACTAGCAATGAAATAAACATCACCAAAAACAAATAGACACACATTTTTCAATAGGTGTGTTTTCACAAAGCAATATGTTTGCGTCTGTGTGTGTGTGTGTGTGTAGAGACTGTTCCAGAGTTCAGAGTGACTGTGGATGCTAACTGTTGGAAACATAAATAAACATGATGTAATTCTGACTGTTGGTCACTACACTATTATGGCAGTATTATTCTACAGTATGTGTTATATTAAACCGTTGAAGAAGAAGAAGAAGGGGGACCTACGTATGGGATAATGCGCTGGATGGTTCTGGTTTATTCGTTCCTTTTTTCTTTTCTTTTTTTCTGTTCAGCGCCACACAGCGCAGTCACAGCTGGATGTTAGCAGATGAGGTTGTTGTACCACTGTCTGGGTTTATAAGTCACTTAGCCGACTTCGCCGCTGGCCTTCCTTGTTGTCCTGTGTCACGCTGCACTCTATTAACACTTTTCTCCAAACAAACAAAATCTGAGTCGACCAGTTGCCTTCCTAACTAAATCATCACGTTTGTGGGAGCAGCTCTACCGAGAACACATGATCACCATGCCTACACTCCCTGCTGTGCACTGCTACACCTAAACATTACAGATTGCAACTTATGGAGGCAGTGCACTCTAGTGTCATTCCTTTTAGCTGTTTACAAATGTGAGGGACATTTGGTTCCTTTTTTTGTAAGCTGTAAATAGTTAGGGAGAAGGCTGTGATGGAGCCACAGATGCAAACTCAGCTGACATGGAGGCGAGCAAATTAATCATCCAAAATGACTTGACTTGATTACCTGTGTGTCAGTTTACTGTTAGACCTGATCTTAGAACAGGCTGAAGTGTGACACACAGGCCACAGCAGTTTGCCAGCAGTTATGAGGAGTGATGGGGTGAGAGACGGAGGGATTGACGAAGTGAAGTAGATTGAGACTGATTCATTACACTGACGGATTAGTGTATCTCTGAATGGCTTGTCTGGCGCCCAAGGTCATGTTTCCACACTGCTGCTCAACGGGACGGGGTGAGATGACATTGCATGTTATCAAATGTGACATTCTCAACTGGCATCCCCCAAAACTCCCAGTGACACAATGATTCCACTACAGCCAAATATTTAACTTTGCAGAGCTGTCGCTCATCTGCTGGGTGGCTGGATGGAGAAGTGGAAGATGAAATTAAATTAAATGAAATAAAAAGTGGCTATGGGGCAATGGAGAAATCCATACAGAAGAGAGTAAGCACAAAGAGAGGGAAGCCACTCACAGTAAAACAAAAGCAGCAATCAAATTTTAATTTTTCAGGCAACATAATTTAATTCCAAAAATGATTCCAGATTATTCCTTTAACATTGTTTTCATCATTCATGTTAATTGTTTGTGTGAGATGGTTTTTGTCATTACGTATGATAATTACATTACATTTTTCTATCAGAATAATTTGTAAAATGCACAAGCTTTGCTTCATAGAAAAATAAGACTACCCCAGTGATGGTTGGTACCATCCAGTGCCCCTGGGTCTGATCTGTGGGAGTCTTTTATTGGCTCTACCACTGGGGCCCGCCAACATTGGAAACTAAGTTATACACATAGCAGCTTTATTATTAGGTTAGATAATGATCAGATATTATTAGATTGCTTTTATGTTTAACACATTAGGGGTGGGAGAAAAGTTTGATTCTTGCATCACGATTCTCACTTGAACGATTCTGTCTCGATTTTAGAAAAGTCAAACGTGATTTTCTTTTTCCTCAACATTATGATCGCCTGTAACAACAGTACATAGCTGCACTCAAAATAGCGGACCTCAGGTTGAGTATAGACGAGAGGCACGCAGGTTCATTACAGCTGAACAAATTGGTTGGTGCAACATGTACATTGTGTTTACATTCTAAGCTAGGCTAACATGATATTAGCTAATGTTGATATTCTTTTTTTTCATATTGTTTTGTCATAACTTGTTGTTGATGTTATACATTTTTTTTCTATTATCAGTTTGTTATTACTTTATGTAGTAATATTCTCTACATGTCAATTTTCTGTTCCCTATAACTATGAAAT